ATCGCCCGAGAACCACGAGAGCAGCTGCTACTGAAGCAAGGGAGCGAATTCGACAAATTGCGAGTGAGGAAGATTAGGTGAACAATATGGAACTTTGTTATGAACCTTTAATGAACTTCTAAGGACTCTTATAGGTTATAGAACGTTAAGTAACATGTATATCATTTCAAGAATATACATGGGGGAGTGCGTCCGAAAGATAAGATACTCTATTCATATTAATTATGTTAAATTATGCATGCTATGACGTAACGCAGCGGGGGGTTGCATGCAATGGATTATATTGAAACTGTGATTCTGAGAGAGAACTAACTTTGTATTTCGAGTGATTAAACCTTTAAAACTAGTGATTTGTTGTGAAAACTTTCTTCAAACGAGAATTTCCAACAATGGATAAGGGGCTTTATACTTGTGGAATATTTATTGATTTTTCAAAGGCATTTGATACTATCAACCACACGATTCTCCTTTCCAAGTTGGAGCACTATGGTATTCGTGGCGTTGCGTTACATTGGTTTAGAACCTATCTAACGGATCGCTCACAATTTGTAGACCTTAATGGGACACTCTCAAACACTATTAAAACAAACTGTGGTGTTCCACAGGGTTCAAATTTAGGCCCACTATTACTTCTTATTTATGTTAATGACATCTCGAATTGTAGCAATGTTTTAAAATTGCGGTTATTCGCAGACGACACTAATGCTTTTTTGGAAAATAGTAATATACTAACTTTAACCACAATGGTTAATGTTGAATTAGAAAAACTTACCAATTGGATTAAAGCAAATAAATTATCGCTAAATATAAAAAAATCGAAATTTATGATATTTTCATCCGATAGAAAACAATTTCACTATATTCCAAATATCAAGTTAGATGGCTGTTCACTAGAGCAGTCAGAATTTTTTAAATATCTGGGTGTCCTTCTTGACAGAAACTTGAGTTGGAAATTTCATATAAACGTTATATGTAAGAAACTTTCCAAGAATATTGGCATGATTTCAAAATTACGTCACTATGTTGATCTTGACACACTAAAAAATGTTTATTACTCCCTAATATATCCTTACCTTTATAATGAGGCAATTATTTGGGGAAATAAGTACCAATCTCGTCTTAATCAGTTAAACATTTTAAACAACAAAGCTGTCAGGATCATGACTTTTTCTGAACCTCGATCCCATGCTCCACCTATCTACAAATTACTAGGTATTCTTCAAGTAAAAGACATTGTTTACACACAAAAATGTACTTTTATGTACGATTACTTTAATAATAGGTTACCAGTAGCATTTTCTAATTATTTTACACACTCTTCAGAAATACATCAACATTATACTCGATATTCAACCCATAACTTTCATTTGCCATCTGTTTCTAGTAACTCAGGAAAATTCTCATTAAAATGTTCTGGAATAAAAATCTGGAGTTCTCTTGATAATCAAGACAAATTACTACCTAGGAAATCTCTAATAAAAAGAATTAAAAAGAATTGCCTTGATACCTATTCCTAATATCAAATGTTTACTATATACTGTCTTACTCTATATACTATAATCAAATCAAACCTATTGTGTGTGATACAAATTGTTAATGCACAGTATGTGTGTATATATGTATTTATTATATTTCTATATATATTTCTAAATTTATTTTTCTTTTGTATTATTATTTGCCATATTTAATTCATTGTTGTATATAGTTCTTATGGGGAATTGGCTCGAAAACTTTAGTTACTCCAATTCCCCAGCACCGTTCTCTTTCATGTAAAACTTTATTGTAATAATCTTGTCATTTTTTTTTTCGAGTGCAAATAAAATTCTATTCTATTCTCTATTCTATTCCATCCCCAATATTTCCTCATCCAAGTTAAACTAATCCGTAATAGTTTCTCGACACATTGACATTGTGTATATATCAATAGAAAAAAAACAACAATTTATTCACGTGCAAGCGGAAAGCACAATCTAAAGATAAAATCCAACAAATGACTTTCACAAGAAGATAACAGTAAAGAATAAAATTTATTTGCTGGAGTTTCGTTGTATGGTCAGGCAAACGTTTCAGCTTGCCCGGTGTGGATGCACACCCATAGTAACACCACAAACATCATTGTATTCACCTGAGTGACAAAAAAGAAACACAAAAAGTGAAATTTAAGAAAGGAAAGTTATAATCCGCCTATAAATTTAGGCGCATTGTCGCACTAAAGAATTCGCGGCACAGACCTATCTTTGATGTTAGTTGTACCAACTTGCTTGTGCGTACATATTCCGTACTTTTAAACTTACTCGCACCCAATGTATTATCGTCAAATCTGTGCACAACCTCGTACCCAGGATCTTTCTTTGGGAGGTTGATCCGTGTAGGGCTCCGTTACGGAATAGGCCTGTATTCTTAAAGGTGCCCTACAGTCCGATCTGCGCATGTGCACAAAGGAGCCCACTTTTTATGATACAAACAGTTTAACTATGTTTTAGGTTCGTGCAAAGCCTGATTGTTGCCTCTTGATCATTTATTCTATCTCATCTAGTTCCGAAGTTATACGCAAAAATGTGCAAAATATAAATTGCTGATTCAGCAGAACGTATGACGTCATTAGTTGGGTAAGTATGTTTATTGAATAGTAACTAAAGCATAGCTAAGTTATTATTGGCTCAAATCAAATGAAATTTTGCATGCAGATAGTACATGATGAGACGCATGGGAAACAATCTCGTCCCCAGATTATTATTATTATTATTATTATTATTATTATTATTATTATTATTATTATTATTATTATTATTATTATTATTATTATTATTATTATTATTATTATTATTATTATTATTATTATTATTATTATTATTATTATTATACAATTTATTTGTACACGGTAAAATCTACAGTAGTTACAAGAAAGACAATAAACTAATACTAATACTGGTTTACAAGATTGCCTTGTGGGGGCTCGTTTATTCGTCGAAATACTTATTAACAGCTTTTTTAAATTTAGCCTGTGTTTGAAGCTTTCTTATTTCTTGAGGAGGGCTATTCCACAATAGTGCACCACTATAACAAAAGCTTCGTTTTAAAGTAATTTGTTCGTGGCTTAGGCAAATTCAGCCTCATTTCAGAATTTCTTAGGTTATACCCAGTTCCGCGAATGGAAAAGAATTCTTGTAAATAACTGGGAACATTACTCTTAAGTGTTTTAAACATAAGACCAAGTTTAAGTTTTTGTCGTCTTAATGACAAGTTATCCCAACGCAGACTATCTAATAATACACTTGCGTCGGTATCATAACTTGATCTCATGATGACTCTCGCTGCTCGGTTTTGCAATTTTTGTAATTTAGTACTGAGTGTTTCCCCAAGGCCATCCCATACCGTGCAGCAATAGTCGAAATGAGGCTGAATGAGCGCTTGGTATATTTGTATGGATGCGTCTATAGTTATAAACGATCTAACACGCTTTAGTGCACCAATAGCAGATGCAACTTTCTTACATAGTTTATCAATATGATCATGCCAAGTAAGATGTTTATCAATATAAACTCCCAAGGATTTCACCGATTCAACCCTAGTTATTTCATTTTCGTTGATTCTAATATTTATTTCGCTATCTATGGACCTTAATTTTTGCTGAGATCCTATTACCATAAACTCCGTTTTAACAATATTTAGACTTAATCTATTAGTAATAAGCCAGCTATTAAGCTTTTTTAATTCAGAGTTTATTACATTTTGGAGCTCACCTGTTGTGTTTGCTGAATAACTTATACTCGTGTCATCAGCGAACATTCTAGGTATAGCATGATTCAAGCAATTCGGAAGGTCATTTATATAGATCAGAAAAAGTATGGGCCCAGGTTACTACCTTGGGAACACCACAAGTCACCGGGCAGAATTTGACAATTGGTCGTTAACACGGCACTTTTGAGTTCGGTTGGTAAGATAAGATTCAAACCAGGTTAAACTCATTTGATCAGTACCATAGTTTCTTAGCTTTTGTAACATAATTTGGTGATTGATAGTGTCAGAAGCTTTTTTTAATCAATAAAAACTTCTCCATTGATTAAACCATTGTTAATATTCATGGACCAGTCACTTGTGGCTTCAAGCATTGCAGTTACCGTACTGTGTAGCGATTTAAAGCCAGATTGGCAGGAAGTTAAAATCTCATTTGTGTTTAGGTATTCATATAATTGGTCAGAAATAATTTTCTCAAAAATTTTTGCAATGGCAGGAATAATGGAAATTGGTCAGTAGTTGCTTGGGTTACTCTTAGGACCACTTTGGAATATTGTTGTCACCCTGCTTGCCTTCCAATCGTTTGGGAATATTCCTGTACGTATTGATGCAGAAAATATTCCCGTCAGTGAAGGTGCAACCACCTGTGCAGCCATTTTCAATAATTTGTTGGGTATATTATCCAACCCAACAGCTTTTTTCTCATCAATTTCACTTAAGAATTTATAAACAGTTTCAATGGTAGGACATTGCAATGAAAATGTCTTATCCGTTGCTTTAAGATAAAATCTCGGAGCATGGTCAGGGGTTGGTATAGATGCAGCCAGGTTGTCACCAACCCTCGAAAAATAGTCATTAAAAGCTTCAGCAATATCCATAGGTGCCGTTATTTCTTGATTATTAAAATTTATTCTGACACTCTATTTGTTTTGCCAATATTTTTGGAACTTAATTCGTTAATTAATTTCCATGTTTTTTTCATGTCACCTTTATGACGATCAAGATTATTTGTAAAATAATTTCGCTTAACTTCCTTAATTTCATTGTTTATTCGGTTTCGAGTCTGTTTGTATTGCTGCCAAATTTGGGGATCATTAGATAAATTCGCTTATTTTTAAACACCAACGACCTACTCGACATCGTAGAAGCCCGAACCGGTACAGCTCTGTATGCAGATGACACCAAACTGCACAAAAACCATTACCTGTAATCCTAATTGTGCGTCTTTACAACACTCCCTATCCAATCTTAATCTCTGGACTATGGAAAACAACCTCCGCTTCAACGTCTCTAAGTGCAAAGTTCTCACCATCACCAGAAAGAAAAATCCTATCATTCATGACAACAATCTTGGGAGCCAAAACCTGACTCGAGTAGATAGCGAAAAAGATCTTGGAATTACCACCACATCAAAACTTTCTTGGGACATTCACGCGAACACCATCGTCGCAAAGGCCAACAAAATATTAGGCGTCCTTAGAAGAACATGTATCAAATTGATGGACATGAAAACCAGACGAACTTTATATTTATTGTTGGTCAAGTCGCAGCTGTGTTATGCTACACAGTTATGATCGCCGGTTAACATCGTCCAGATTTCAAGACGTGTTGAAAAAGTGCAAAGAAGAGCTACTAGGTGGATAACAATGACAAAGCGAGGAGAACTGTCGTACAGAGAACGGTTATTAGCATTAAATCTGCTACCGTTAACCTATGATCGAGAAGTCAGAGACTTGGTGTATTTCTTCAAATCATTGTTTAGTTACATTGACGTCGATATCGATAACTATGTGTCGTTTGTGAGCCATGGTCGTACTAGACTGAGCCATATGTCAAGATATATCCCTCAAAGTAAACTCTGTAAAACTAATACTTTCCAGTCTTCATACTACAATCGTGTTGTAAAGATTTGGAACACAGTGTGCCAAGAAATCTCACCTGACTTTTTCCGTAATCCAAACTCTTTTAAACACTATCTTAAACGTAGATACTATACATTAATTAGTAATGTTTATGACGTAGACATGGCTTGTACGTGGTCATTAACTCGTGACTGTCCTTGCCATAGGACTTAAATTAATACCACAAGTAATATATATGTGTGTGTATTTAATTAACTATATCAAAACTAATTACGGGGAGCACCTCGCATGGGACTTTTAGTGTCCCGTTTGTGCTTTTCCGTTTGAGTGTATCTACTAATTTGTGATTTGTGACATGTGTTTTGTCTTCCGTTTGTCAAGTTTTTATCTTTGTACCTGATATAGTGCGTATGTAGATTGCTCAATAAATTCATTAAATAAATAAATGAATATCACGATGTCGTATCTTTTGTCTTAATTCTTTTTTATCCAAGGGGACTTCTGATTTTTAACCGGCCTGGATCTCAATGGTGCATGTTTGTCAATTGCGCATCATTAAGTTTTCTTTCCAAATTTTCCACATCACATTACGTTCCGCAGAACGATAAACATTGTGCCAATTTTTTTTTTCAACATCTCGTAAATAGTGTTTTCTATTAAATTGCTTCATTGACCTAATATGTACCGTTTTTGTTACCCCTTGTACATAGTGAGCCTTACGAATTGCGTAAATCAATGAATGATCGCTTATTGACAGGGATAAGACTCCAGCATCTACAACATGAGAAGGTGAATTTATAAGACATAAGTCAATCAGGGTTCTAGATGATGACGTAGTTCTGGTTGGTTCATTAATCAATTGTTTATGAACAATTACTATCAAGCGACACAGTCCGGGCAGCATGTAATCACAAATAATTTTTAAAAATTGTCTTAATGGCTTTGTTTAGCGAGTTTGTTTCAACTGTATATGTAACCATAAACACACAAATCAAATAGCCGAAAATGCTTCAAATCGCGATCGTGTCTTTCAACCCGAGGTAGAAAGGTCTGTTTTGTGCACATAAGATATATATGGTTGTGCACATGCAGGCTATATTTCAGCAACATAACAACATGGGATGAAAATAGTTCCGACTAAAACTCAGCCGGCTCAAACTGCTGACGGGCAATCAAATAGATCGCTATCAAAAGTTCTGAAGCAAGCGTATCATGTAGCATTCTTGCTACAGTTTATTTTAAATTGTCGCTGTTTGCGTAATTTTTTTTACGAATAACTATAAGTCATTACACATGATTATAAAGTATAAACATTTACAATTAGTCAAAATACTAGTGACTGTGACATTTTTGACTGCCCAACATCTCGGGTCGATTCTATAATAAGTGCATGCTTGCAATACACATTTATTAACAATCGTACCAACTTATGATGATGTTGCCTTACGTACTGTGGCACGCGAATACACGCATATCAGCAATAAACATCGCTTGCGTACTATACAGGGTGTCCCAAAAAAAAGTGACACTATAGAAATTATCTCATTGTTCTCAAGCCGCTCTTAAACGCGCGTGATTACACGCCTGGGAGTTTAATGAACTTGTATTTACATTTAAGCATTTTAAAACGTTTTCGCTTTGTCCAAATATTTTAACGCCCGAGTCAAGCAAAACGATTACACTAATAAACGGTTTGCTTTTTTATTTTAAATTCCAGAAGCAGAAGTTCATGCACCTGTGGGATCAACTTAGTGCTAGGGCATTCAAATTATAACAATAGGATAATTTCTATAGTGTCAGTTTTTTTTGGGACACCCTGTATATTGTTGCATGAGTTAAGACTGAAATTATCTGTATTTCTAGTCTACAGGATAGCTAATAAACTGGACGACCTCCTTACCTTGTGCTTTTTCCGGTATTAGTTTATCCATTTAAAACTCATTCTGTGATCACAGAAACTTTGATAGTGTAAACCGAGTTTAGTAATTCCAAACACTGTGATATTTTGGCTACCTCTTTCGGAAATGAAATTCAATAGCCTATTCAACACACGCGTGAGTGAATAACTTTTGACAATAATTTCCATAATTTTAGACAATACTGTGAAAGTCATTAAAATTCCTTCAAAACTGTTTTTATTTATTTTGGTGCCCTTTAGAGTTTTGTGAAAAGCGCGAGCATTTTCTACATGGTCATCAGAAACCTGATGGCGAATAGAGGAAATTAGCTAGATTGTGTTTTGTTTTGTCCCGGAGTATTGACCACGCACATGCATGTATGTGATGTGTACATCATAGGTTACTTTGATTCGCGACTCGTTAGTGGTTTCATGCTTTATAGTGTGAACACAAAAAGTGAGGCTGACAAATACTCTGGAAATCGCGATGATTTCCGACGATGTCCGGTTTTGATACGAGTGTAACAGGAGCGCATTCCGCAGATGCGTTCCGGTAACAGTGGAACGCAAATGGAACGTAAATGGAACGCAATTGGAACGCGAATGGAACGCGAATGGAACGCGAATGGAACGCAAATGGAACGCATTTAGAAACGCGTTCCGGACGCGTTCGAGACGCGTTCCGAAAGCGTTTTCTGTTAGGTTATTTCTGAGCAGTACTGTAGGTCAACTATTAATATGTAGACATACCTCAATTTTCGCTTTAATTAACCATTTACCAAGAACAGGTTCCTTGGACAATTGAAGATCCAGACTAGCGATGCCTAAATATGTATTTACGTGATATTATTTCCGAATCCTGATTGATAATGGGAATAATTGAATTGAATACATGCATGAGGTAAAATTTGGTCTGCATGCAATCAAATACGCGATTACAAAATCGCACGTATGCGAAGCGAGAGTGCAATTTATAACACAAGTTTAAATTTTGACCAAAATTACACGACATGAAGTTCCAGTTTCCACTTTATTTTTTAATATTGAAATCTAAAACTGGTTTGTAAACCAGAAATAGTTTTTGTTTACAAACGATCTCTAACCCACCCAATGTCTGCATATGGTGCCGTAACGTAGCAACATGTCAATAAGATCAACACCCCTGCAAAATGTAGTCCGCAATTGTTCTATTATTAAAATATGCCGGATTTTTCGAATTTTCAATAACTACCTCTTTGCAGTTCGTAATTTACTTTAGTTTTCAGATACGTACGGCATGTTCTTCGGCGTAATAAATACATGCGGTAGTGACAATTGCTATATGTTTTCAATTAATTCGGTGTAGTTATTTTCTCCGAAACAAATTTAAAAATCCAAGAACAGTAAGAATGTAACAATTATATGTTCTGCGAATGATGTGTTGTATGTCTAAAAATGATATATTTTATTTTCATAGAAAATTTCGAACAAGCGGGATCAAAGTTGAAGAAGTAATAACATTCCTGGCGATATTTCAGTATTTTAATGTTTGAAACAACTGCAAAAATATTACATAATTCAAGAGATTTATGAAGAAAAGTTATGACGCAAGCAAGTTTAAACATATTATAGGGTCACGAGTGATTTGATGGAGTTTTGGTGCGTTTTTCTGCATGCAAATATCGATTGGAACTAGTCGATGAACGAATTTACCTCGGATTTTCTCTCACTCTAAAATAGCTGTTGTTGGCATTTTTGTAATTTTTATAGAACATTTTGTTCAAATTAAAATTTTTACATTATTTTTTATGAAAAATTATATGGTATTTTAAATCTCCAAGTATTTTTGGATCATTTGTTTCATTCAAAAATATTTAGCTACGATAGCTTATTTATGTTGCATCAAATAGAAAGTTTATTAGAATCGAGGATAATCAGATTTGATTTGGTAATTTGCGTGATCATATTTTTCTTAAAATAGATTGGCTAATTCAATTGACCATTTGCGTAATAGACTAAATTTTGAACTAAACAAGTCTAGACAAAAATTTCATTACAGCTTGAAGGAGCATCGCAAAATTAGTAATATTCCAAAGTTTCGTTGCACAATGTTGTAAAATGCGGAAAATATAGCCTTGCGAAATTTGCAATTTTCAGTCATTTTAGATTACAAACGGGAAATTGACAGCCCCAAACCCTTCGAGGTTGTCAATTTCCGGTTTGTAATCTAAAATGACTGAAAATTGCAAATTTCGCAAGGCTATATTTTCCGCATTTTACAACATTTTGCAACGAAACTTTGGAATATTACTAATTTTGTGATGCTCTTTCAAGCTGTAATGAAATTTTTGTTGAGATCAAAATTTAGTCTATTACGCAAATGGTCAATTCAGTAGTTAAATATGATTGCTTGAAAAAAGGGCACCATTACATCGCATACTGATGGCAGCATTTTGAATTCGCACCAATATATGAGTAAGATTCGTGCTGATTCCAAAACGATTACGATCATTAAATTAATAACATCATTTTTAACACTTTTTTTAAATTAAATATCAATAGGCTAATGGTAGTTGCAACTTCGTGAAGTATTTTGTATTGTGACAATGAAAATCTTACCATCTTCTAGTTCAACATCATTCCATTGCATTATCCTCGCACCTCTGGGTTCCTGCATGTGACAGAAGATCATTGTGAATTGGGGATACATTTTTAATCTGAAACCGTCCTGCAGTCTCAATGTTATTTGTGCAAGTTATGATGTTGTAAGGCGAGGTCAGACGTGACTCAGAGTTGATGAAAGTTGAGAAGCAAAAGTTTGTATACATGATAGATTTCTCAACTCTTATGCCTCAGTAAAACGAATACTACAAGAGTTGCATGAGACCTGATAAGCGTTAATTAGATATTATCGCGAGATGGCGAAAACGCTTATCAACTCTCATTAACATTTAAACAGTTCAAAATCAATGAAAGTTGGTAAGAGTCGATGAGAGGTAGTTGGCGGTCAAACGCGGGAGAGAATGGGAACTCTTGTCAACTTCCATTTCCGTTTGGCTTGGACTTAGTGAACAGGTGCGCAGATGGCGCCATCCTTAGATGTGATATAGACCAATCACATCATTCTTAAAATAATCGAGAAGAAACAACTTTCCTTGCTAGATACTTAAAAAAACATATTTTGGCCCGGCTACTCTCCCGTTCCCTCCCCCTCCCCTTCCACATTAACTCACTACCGACACAACATTGGGTCTCGCAATTCATATATTTATGAGAAGTGTGTTCATGATTCATGAACGCATGACAACAGTGGTGACTGATGGAGGAATGACGATATCTATACGTACTAGTACGATATTATACTTTAGGAAACCAAAACGATTTACAAACCTGTATCACCACTGAGGAAACCTTACAGGAAAAATAAAGACAGAGGTTAATTTAATGGTAAATGAGTGATAGTTAACAACTTTTTAATCCCATTGACATTCGATTCAACTAACATTGTTTTCTGATGTCATGTTTTACTAATAATATTAAATATATGTGTCTTGTATAGTATGATTGATGCTAATCAATCAGTGGATATATTCCCAAATGGAGTTAACCGTGTCCCCCAAGCAACTTTCTTTGCCATTAAAATCCTGTGAATTTTGAAGGGTTTCCTGTTGAATTGGATTGAAACCTGCGCTGTTCGTGGATTACAAATCGCTTTTTACGCATAAGAAAAACAGTCTGTTCGTGTAGCAACCGTAGCTACGGACTGTCGGAACCACGAGTTACATACTGAATGCAAATCCATCCGTTTAGGTTTCGACCGTTTCGCGGTTTTGAATTTTGACCTTGAAATCCAACCTTAAAATTGGAGGTAAAACTGAATGTGCAACATCGTTCCCAGGCTCTTTCCTCTTGTGGAATTTGATCGCCCAAAGGGGAGTACGCAAAGTATCAAATTACATTCTTCCACTTCCGCATTTACACTTCGATTGCAACTGAGTGAGAGTGTTCTGTACAATCTACTTTGAGAATCATAATTTGGTTCCTGTTTGCTTTTAAATTATAAAAAAACATACATATTTTTATAGCAACAGACAAGTCAGGAAGTCAAGCAATAAAAACGTATGCTTTGAAATTGTTCTAATGTTCTCTCAAGGCCTCTGGCGCACTTTCATTTCACACGTTTCTGTTTTGCCTCTGGTTCACTTCACATATTTATAATGTTCTTATAATATGCCGTTAGCGTTATTTGGAAACGGTATATTTATTTTTGAATCGATTTACTTGTTAATTTCAACACAATACTGCGGTAGGTCGTGGCTCCTTTTGAGGTCTTCTCGCGCACACGCTTTATATAAATAGATACAAGCCAAATGGACATTGAATCTCTATTGATTGATTATTGATTCAAAAATTGTTTATAAACATCGTATATTTTCTTAATAGGTTAAATTATTGTATAATTTAATCGTTTGTATTAAACACTAGGTGGTAAGGAGTGTATAAGGTACAAAAATTGTTAGGGAATCTACAGTATAGAATTTAGATAACTAATATGCTTTTCCTATTTTGTCTACACGCGAGTATACTAATGGCAAAATTGTGCACAGTATGTCCTATAATATATAATTCAATAGTCATTTACCCTCGTGTTTTATACCTTGCCCATTGGCATTGAGTGCAAAAGAATAACAGCAGATATAATAGAAAAATACTTCCCTATATAAAACCTTATAACGCTATAAAGTGCCTCTACACTTTGTCAGGGCCATAGTCAAACACAGACACAGCATTACTCGATAAGTTTTTATAAGCATTTTAAAGTTTCTATTGATACATCGGCTGTTTGTCTCTAGCATATTTGGATGAAAACTTCTAAAATATGATGAAGATTGAAGTTGATATAAATATTGATTAACACAGCAGCATGATTCGGGTCGAAAAAAGCAGGATTATTCTTCTATAAAAGGCCAATTGCAATGCCAATAAAGGTCTTTATAAGATTTATAATGTGCCTGCTGAGATTGCTGCACGTAAAACATGATATATTAAATATAATATAAAATAAAATAAAATACTTGTGTCTGATGTTTAAGTTAACTGTATGTATGGTATTATATATTATCGCTGTACCGCATAGCTATAGCACGCACGGAGAAGTCTTGGCGTAAACGAATGGCGTTCATAAGATAACCAAAAGAGTTCACTGGTGAAAACAGATAGCTATACTTCGAAATAAGTCTTGCTCGTTGAGTTTCAGCAATGTCCAGAGAGCAATGTCAATGCAAGGAATTTTATAGTCCAGAAGAACACGGGTTTTAATTAATCATGTGCTATCACAAGTCAAGATACAGTAGCATTGTTTACAATTACAGTTGGCGATCAAGATCAACTTTATTTAAACACATTGGCCTTTTCAGCAAAAGCTGATTTCCAAAAGGGATGTGTACTTACAAATTATTATTTATATACTAGCTCTAATATTACATACATAACAAATACAATTATATACCTATTTAGACAAAAAATTAACTACTACTTTAAGTCGAGATTAAGGTCGAGGAAGATAGCTTTTTACAGAACGAATTATACGATACCGAATTGCGTATCTCTTCAGGTATCTGATTACATAGTTTAGCCCCACTATATTGGAAGCTTTTTTTTAAGGATTCCGTTTTTGGTCTTGGAATATAAAACCTTGTTGAAGAACCTCTTAAATTATGGTCATGAATGGTATTCAGATTTTGGAAAGCTTCGTATAGTCGTTGGGGGGCTAAACCATTAACTGTCTTGTACATGAGCCTGGCTTTCATTTGTGCCCTACGCTCTTCAAGTGTTACCCAGCCTAGAGATTTTCGTGCCAAAATAGACTGACCATGTTCATTTTTTAAGTTCATGATCAACTTAGCCGCTCTGTTTTGGAATTTCTGTAGACGTTCGCTTAGGCCTTTATTAAGTGTATCCCATACTTCACAGCAATAATCAAAATAAGGTTGGATTAAGGCATTATAAACTTTTATCAAAATGTCTTGTTCGACATACTCCCTCATTTTTCTAATAGCCCCAATACCTGATGATATTTTACTGCTAATATGGTTAATGTGTTTTTCCCAACTCAAGTTTTCGTCTAATTCAACTCCAAGAGCTTTGGTATTTTTAACTTTTTTAATCAATTGATTATTTATTTTAACTCCTTGATGGGTATCAATATTACTTATTTTATGTCGTGTTCCAATTAAAACATACTCAGTTTTCACTATATTTAGACTTAGTTTATTTGCACAAAGCCATTTCTGAACATTCCTCATGTCTACGCTCGCCCTCTCTTCCGCCTCACTAATTGTTCTGCCTACTGCCGTTAAGTTAGTATCATCAGCAAACATTCTTGGAGTTGTACGTTCTAGGCAGCTTGGCAAATCATTTATATACATAATAAATAAGAGAGGGCCGAGTATACTTCCCTGAGGAATGCCACAAATGATTTCTTTCTCCACCAGAGTATACTGGCCAATTGACAACTTTGAGTTCGGTGCGTCAAATAGCAACGTAAAAGATTTAATGCTTTCCTTTGGAAATCATATACATTTCAAACTTACTTAACAGTATTTCGTGGTCGACTGTATCGAATGCTTTTTTTAGATCAAGAAAAACAACTAAGTTAGCAACAACTAAGTTTAAGAAACCAAAAGATCACGTTATAAAAAAATCCGTTAGAATATCGGACAGGATACACTTCAATTTAACGGACAGATTGTTCGTTTCATCGGTCGGTCGGTGTGGACAATATTAAAATAGCTTCTACGCTGAAGCCGGTGCTCAACTTCGCAGGCTGTAGGTAGCGTGTGGTGTTCTTTCCTTGCAATTGAAATATGATTCAGCTTCTTGTTTGAAATGTAACTCAACACTCATTATTGATGACATTGATATAGCAGAAGTCGTGTCATGATAAATAGAATTTTTAGTAAACAGTTTATTTCACGATTTCCTGTTGTAAATTGCATTTTTGTCACCAGAAACTAGAACACATAAGTTTCAATTTTCCAAACACGACAAACCACTCCTCTACCACCCTACCCAAGGACACAATTTACTTTAGCACACAGAATCTGCGTGCCACGTGACCAGCCCCAGCCAGGATCTTTGCTTCACAAGAGGAAAGAGCCTGGGAACGAGGTTGCTGAATGTGTTCGTTCATGCAGTATATCACAATATATACTGTATATAAACGCATTGCGATAAAGTATTAAAATCAATCAGTTTCGGGTAGCTTCCTTTTACACACTCAGTCACTACATAGCTATAATTCGGAAAACCATAGCTTACATAAAAGTGCTATAAATTTTACCCATATAGGGATGAAAAGTAATTTGATGGTTGGCAATTTCTATCCTTTTCATAGGATGTATTAGCTGTTTCCATTGAAAATATCAAGCTATTATATTCGTGATATATATTTAACCAGGCAATATCAATTGTTATTATATATCAATAGTCAAAGTCGCATTTTTCTTGTGTTTTATTGGTTGAGAGCATATCACGTGAGAGTGACAATGTTAGGCGTCTCCCTCGCAACAGCGCGAGAGGGAGATAATACGTTATCGACCGGCGAATAACAAAAAAAATCATGTGCGCCATCACGTGAAGATGCGACCTTTGGACATGCCTACTACGTAATTATAACTTTCGCTTTAAGTAACTGCAGTGTAGCCAGTGTTTAATATAACGTTTTAACAATAAAATATTTCATGTATTTACGTTCATTTCTTCTTTAATTTGTTGTTTCTTTGACTATTGATATATAATAAAACACTTATTCACTGAGACCTCGGGAAAGCAGTGTGTTTTGTGGAGACTTGACGGTCTCGGGTCCACAAAACACACTGTTTCCCTCGTTCTCAGTAAATAAGTGATAACTAACTTACTTTCTTTCCTGCAGGTTTTAGTTGAGAATCCACACATATAATTCGAATCAAAACTAGAAAGAAGAAATTTTGTATTACTTAAAATTTGAATGTCAACATGGTTTTATTAAATTAATATAAGGAGATCGATAAGTTACTTAATTAATCTATGTTCTATTGCCGTTATTTGAACTTACATTTGATGCACTCAATTTCTTTGGAGAAAAATGTGTGCCCTTAACATGTGCCCTCAATGCCAAATGAAGAAAGCACGGGTGCAATTTATTTGCTCGTGATGAGTTAAATCTCTTATTCGCCTATTGACATTTAATTTTACCGACTTATTAAAATCCGTTGCTATTGCAAAAGATCAGTCTTCACGAGGGCGCAACAGTTCTTTGTACTATGCGTTATTTTACATTGATCAAATTGATTTTCTTCAAATTAAATGAAATCACGAGAATACTAAACATATAGTTATCGTAGTTAATTTGTTCTTAAATTACAATTCATACGAAAGCATGTCTACCAGGTATAACGTAGCTACGGACCTTTCTGTCCAGGTTTATAAATGGGTTTGTCGGTTTGAATAAAGACCTTCTTCGCTAGAGCTTCATAAGTAACAGTTTTCTTCGTTGTTTTTACTCCACATACTGTAGCTCCCACTTTCACGTTCGATAGGCCATCAGGTACCTGCTCAACGAAACATCATAGACAAGTTAATTATTATTAATACGGTCCAAGAGTCGTTGAGAATTTGAACAGACCGATGCACGTCAACGTACTTCATACCGGAAGGAGCGAATTCGTTGGAAACTCGAATTGAAAAGACAATATCCTATGGCAATCTTCTATTAATTAATCATACAATTGTCAGCCAAACATCGACAATGCGATTTTGACGACAACAGTAATAGGATGCTTTTGAATATGGAGATCTTTATGTTCTTTTTAAAATCGCCTGAACCTATCAGTTAAATATTCGCAATATTAGCGTACTGAAACTTCTTGAATAAGCGAATTCACCATGCCATACTTTCTGTGCAGTTACGATTAGCGCTTGAGGTATGATAGAACAGTGGCCTGAAACAATGACTTGATAAAAACTGACCTGAAGTTCCAGCATACCAGCTTCATTTGGTTGAAAATGACCTCTTGATTGGCTGCTAATGCCACGTTTTGTCTAGTCATCCAGTGTGAGGCGTACATCACAAGATTTATTCCCAAAAATATTTATACCAATGTTTTGCGTCGTGCCAGCTCGAAACACTCGAGGTACGATGATCAAGTAATCTCCGTAATTCAATGCGCCATTGCTGTAAGGACAAATACGTAATTTCTTTATAGTGATAAAGAATAAAACTTTATTTATGGTGGTATCAAACTGTGTTTACAAATTATTATAAACTACGGTTATTTGAAGAATTGCAAAATTGGCAAAATATTTAAAAACATGTCTTCAGCAGCGCAAAGCTACGGTGCCTCAAACTTAAGTGGCCGGCAGATAATTTCAGTATTTCGTTGCCTTATACTGTACTTGATCATAGTCTGCCCAAGTGACGATTTACCTCTATGTAAGATATGAGAGTCGGATAACAGAGGTCTATCTCTGAATGCTTTTCAAAATATTAAAAATTTGGCGTCCTCAGCCACGAGGATTCTATTTCTTTACATATTTTATTTTTTTCTTGCACAGGCAAGTACACTCTCTCCTCCGCAGAGCCTGCTTAAGTATTTACAAATAACTTACATGAAGTTTCCTGAATAAAAGTGAGCGCGCGCTGTGTGATGGGAAGATTGAAATGAAGTTGGCGAGGCTCTGCCAGATAATGCGACGAAGTATGGCTTTTGAACCAAACTAGTTGTTTGACTTTTTTTAAAACTTGAAATCTACGGAAATGTGAAAGAAATTGAAATGAATCTTCATAATCTGAGTATCGAAGTTCAATAGAGTCATTTTTATAAAGAAATGTTGCAAATTAAGAGGATATTTATAACCAAATAGCTCGTATCCATTGATATTCGTTTGCAATTTCTCAATATTTTTCGATGCAAATGGACAGAAGAAGATATTGATATTGAATTCACCCCAGGATACTCAAGTACGCCTGAAAATGAAAGTCAAAAACATGTTTTAGCACCCCCGATGGTTGATCGAACTTTGCTACAAATGATTATATACGACGCCATATTGATTGCATTAACTCGCAGAGGCTTCCTTTATTTAGCTCTTCCCATCACTCCTTGAAATTGAGAGCAATTTCAAATCTGTTCAGTTTTTTTTATACACCCTGTATAGGACGAACGTTAATTGAAAACAATGGGAGGGCGTTGACGTTGTAAAAAGCTATACATCGCATTAAAAACTCATTAATAATTCAGGAAGAAAACACAAAGAAATCATAAGCGTGTCGTGTCTGTATATGTGATACTGATTCATGTTGATTTACATAAACTTTAACTTTGATTTTCTCGGCTTAGACAATGTTTATTTTTAAAATTACTTCGCCAATGGACTCAGGGATGAGTCGTTTTTTAAGTTGTTTACAACATTCGCGTCCGTGTTGTATCAGATATACAAACTCTCGCCTTCGGCTCGATATCTGATACAACACGGCCACTCATGTTGTAAACATTACTTACAGAATTTTGAATGTTTAATTAAATGCAAGAACTTAACAATTTTGATAAAAGTTCCTATCAGAAAATATGGAAAATGCTCTTCCGACGCTTCGGAGACGAAAAACCTGGTGAATATTTGATGACGGTACTTCATCTGATCGATCGTTAAAATATTATTTAAAAGTGAAGTTTGGCAACTGCCTTTTATACTCAGTAAATAGTAATTTGCTTCCAATTCTTGATTTGTTTCGTTTGTTTCGTTTGTTTCATTTGTTTCGTTTGTTTCGTTTGTTTCGTTTGTTTCGTGTGTTTCGTTTGTTTCGTTTGTTTTGTTTGTTTCGTTTGTTTCATTTGTTTCATTTGTTTCATTTGTTACATTTGTTTCATTTGTTTCATTTGTTTCATTTGTTTCGTTTGTTTCGTTTGTTTCATTTGTTTCATTCGTTTCATTTGTTTCATTAGTTTTGTTTGTTTCATTTGTTTCATTTGTTTCATTTGTTTCATTTGTTTCATTTGTTTCATTTGTTTCATTTGTTTCATTTGTTTCGTTTGTTTCATTTGTTTCGTTTGTTTCGTTTGTTTCATTTGTTTCATTTGTTTCATTTGTTCATTTGTTTCATTTGTTTCGTTTGTTTCGTTTGTTTCGTTTGTTTCGTTTGTTTCATTTGTTTCATTTGTTTCATTTGTTTCATTTGTTTCATTTGTTTCATTTGTTTCATTTGTTTCGTTAGTTTCGTTAGTTTCGTTAGTTTCGTTTGTTTCATTTGTTCTATTTGTTCTATTTGTTCTATTTGTTCTATTTGTTTCATTTGTTTCATTTATTTCATTTGCTTCATTTGCTTCATTTGTTTCATTTGTTTCATTTGTTTCATTTGTTTCATTTGTTTCATTTTTTTCATTTGTTTCATTTGTTTCATTTGTTTCATTTGTTTTATTTGTTTCATTTGTTTCATTTGTTTCATTAGTTTCGTTAGTTTCGTTAGTTTCGTTTGTTTCGTTTGTATCGTTTCTTTCATTTGTTCTATTTGTTCCATTTGTTTCATTGATTTCATTTGTTTCGTTTGTTTCGTTTGTTTTGTTTTGTTTCGTTTGTTTCGCTTGTTTCATTTGTTTCATTAGTTTCGTTAGTTTCGTTTGTTTCGTTTGTTTCACTTGTTCCATTTGTTCCATTTGTTTCATTTATTTCATTTGTTTCATTTGTTTCATTTGTTTCTTCTGGTTCATATGCTTGAAACATATGATGATGGGCGGTGAGTGCCGTGCTGAATTAAAAAAGTTAATATCTCCCAAACAAGTACTGGTATCGCTTTGAAATGTTCTTACTCTCCCTAAAAATCTATAGGCTTTAAAAAGACAAAAATGAATGAAAACTACTAGGGCACAAAAGCTATACTAACACTAAATTTCAGAAATTTTTGTAATACCCAACCCCACAATGTGCCCAATTGAGGCAGCCAGGCTTAGGCGACAGAGCAAAAACATTGACCAGAGCACCAGAATTCTGTAAAATCTCTCCCCAACAGAAATCGCATTTCAGAGAGTCTAGATTCAAAAATTTTCCGCATGAGCATGCCCTGGATCCCTAGAAGCTCGCGCTTATACGGCGCTCGACTCGTACCTTTGGCTCTTATACTAGGGGGCCTTAGAAAATTTTGAACCGGGGCCGCCCTGATATAACGTTACGCAACTGAAGCCGGGAAAGGAAACTAATCCAGCTGAGCTATTAACTTACAGCTGGGGAAAGGATAGCATTTACGACGTCTAAAGTTCATCAATAATCTGGAGTAGGGATTTCCACAAGTCGCTCGGCAACTCTTTGGCAACTTTTCGTTTCATGATCAGAATTGTTTTAATTAACTCTTTCTCAGCAGGGTCCATTACGCGTAGAACGTGCACGTTCTACGGATGTTTCGTTCATGTCTTCGGTTCAGTACACGCTATGTAGATAAAAATACCACCATTTGATTCAGTGTAAAAATATATACTAACTTATAACGATAGTTTTAGTCAGTGGCTACATTGTAGCGATTTATGAGCTTTGAAAATCAAGCGGGCTTGTATATGATTAAATTACGCAATATTACTAACAAAGTACAAATATAGACAGTGGCGTAACTAGTGGTCCTGCTTGTCCTGCCCCGTAGAACTAAAAATTTTCCCAAATTTCCTTACTAAAACATTACTTTATTTATCTTGAAGCTTTAAAAATATATTATTATTATATTGTTACTTTGTATCATTTTCTCGTCTTTTTCGTTATTATTTTTTAAAAGTTTTCCGTATTCTATTACATTTACACAATTTTACAGCTTGCCGTGTCTGTTACCTAGCAACTGCAACTCTACAAAAGCTCATTTCCGGGCAATATATCGATTTACACGCGCTCGTGTTTCGTCCTGCCATTTTCAAATGGCAGGACTTGCTAGTATCTTTCATAGCCGCTATATATAGTGTTGTAAATTCAACAGGCACTACAATGCTAGCCGTATGCTAGCCGTATATATAGTGTTGTAAATTCAACAGGCACTACAACAATTGTTGAGTTACGCAATTGCACGTTGACCAAGTGAAAGATCATATTACAGACGTGTATTGGAAACATGATATTTTCCTCTTACATGAATTGACTATATTTGGCTAAATTTTTAAGTTGAAAAATATATAGGGAAATATGATAAATATGGAAATACGATTTCAAAAATTATCAAAAATTTTCCACTAAATCACACAATTTTTTGATGTTCTCTTTGGAGTATTTCGCCGTGAAATCGCAGGAAATGGCCATTCCAGACTTCTAAAATTAAAAATTTTCCGGGGGGCATGCCCTTCGGCCCTTGAGACGTATGCTCATTCTGGTATTCTTGATGAATGAAGCAGTTAAAAATAGCATGTATAGTGTTATTTTCAAGCTTCTATCTTTAAAATGTGACTTTTGTTGCCGAATTTTGCATTTCTGCAATTCTGCTCCGAATTTGCGATAATCCCAACCGGAAATACGACTAAAAACCATCAAAACAATGCGAAGTTTGTATCGCGTGACTCTGGAAATGCCAGAAATGGGTTCTACAGGTCAAAGTGCACCCATACGCGTGAGTTTGACGTCATCTCAGGTAAAGGAGCTCCTTATTGCCCAAGTATTACGCAATACACGCGCGTGCGAGCAAAACCCGATACCTTGAAAAATTAAAAATGAATATTTCTACCTGCCGTATTCATACGAAACTTTCTACACGAAAGCGCTTGAATATAAAGAGTATTTTACACATATATCCTTTCAGAAAATGATGCCAAAATTTTAGAATATATTCAACTTTTTCTCTTTTTCTCGTTTGAATGTTTGGCGAGTTTAAATATATCATTGCTTTGGTTTGTGTAATGTTTTGACGGCACTTTTCTTCCCGTTCGAAAGGTTATATTGTGAGGATTTCAATGGTGACATTTATTTAAAGGGGGGGGGGGGGTAAATATATTTATATTAGAAAATTTGAATCGAAATGTAATGTTAAACAGCAACTTTCATAACATCGAACTTCGAGCAACTTTTCATGAATTTGACACCTTTGTAACTTGATGTAGCGATTGTGAGTTTACTTTCATTTTTTGTTTAAATATGGTGGGCCATATTAATAGGATAATAATAAACAACTTTATAATTTTTAGCTCTCCAAGTCCAGTCAATGTCAATTTCTCTTTATCGGTATTTAATAATCGGTAATTTTAGCCACTAGGGATTTAATAATGGAGTTATTGATTTTTGGTATCTCAAAGTATACTGAAAAAAGTATAACTAAAAAAAGTAGATAGCGGGCGCTTCAGACTATGTGTCGTAAAATTCCACTCCTGGTATTTGAATTTAATGTTTTCTGTGGAGGCATGTAACTTGAAACCATGCAACTCCCCCTTGGCCAATTAATTGTTGTAGAGTCACGTGATCAGACAATAGGTTGCGGGAACTCACCCCCTCGCCTACAGTCCTAGAAAAAACTAAAAAGTCTAGCCTGTATATGTTTCATAAGGGGACTGACTATAAAAAACTAGTTTCTCTTATTTTATTGCTTCTAGATAGTATTACATTACCGTTACATGTTACTTACTATCTATGAAAACCTACCCAACTTTTCGTTCGCTAGTTCGGTTGTCGAAATATTTCAAAATTAAAACAGCGCGCAGTTGGCCATCCTTATCCTTGGATCTTGTTCAATATCAGTGACGTAATTACAGGAGTAAAGACAGTGACCTCTGAATATATATCTGAATTGAGTACTTGAGTCCAAAGTATGAGGCGAAGATGGAACTATAAGATGTCAATCAGTTACAGTCCATTTTCCATTGTTTTCTGCGCGTTTCATGCGAAGCTGCAATGTGTGTACCGAAAAAAATTTCGGTACACACATTGCAGCTTCGCATGAAACGCGCAGAAAACAATGGAAAATGGACTTTAATTCTGCCTCGATTTAAAGTGTAATACTATATTTATTTGAACTGCATGATAACCTGTTTAGAGATACTGGAATTAGCTTTGAAAAATGTCAGTGGTTTTAAAAATAATGCAAAATGACATGCCAAGTTGGATCATCATTTTCATTAACACCTTGTATATAAATGAGTGTCGAGTTACATTTCAAAAACGCAGATTGATCTGATTCCAAATAATAAAAATGCAATAACGCTTGCCAAAAACATATAGACCAACAGATGTGGTTGCTATTTATATGCGCATTTGATCATATACTATAACATGTTAATTTGCGCAAAAATAAATATTAAATATTATTATTATTATTATTATTTAACTTTAAATATGTTTGAAACGTAACCATTACAAGTTATGTAGCCTTTTGACGGTTTCTGGTTTAATTTATTTCAGAAGATTTCGACTGCCAGACCACAGTCTTGTGTCTAACAATGATTGAAGTTCCTGCAGTTTACAATTACATATAGTGACGCAAACATAGGACGGGCGTGTAGAGGGATATTTCCGATGATTGTCCATTAATAGTGTTGCATATCACGTCTCATGAAATTCAAAAGTCATGATGCACGAGTCGTATTTCTGATTTTGTATGTTAGAAAATTACTTCACGCATGCATGTATATGTGCCATTTGGTTATATAATTATACTTCGTCTCGTTCCAAATGCCTCACGAGTCGTGGCTCGTGGGTAAATATTTTTATCATATTAATTAAACTGTGGCATTAAATTACGTCGTTAACCCTCGCAATGTAATACTAATATATGATATTTAATGATACCTGTGATATTAATAATTACATTAGGTTGCATCGCCGCACAGGAAGGTTCGAATTAAAAAATCATGGGCAAAATTCAAGATTAGAAATATCGACCAAGTGTAAACATTCTCTTCCCTGCCTTAAAATGTGTCTAATTTTACGCAGATATTTTTTTTAAATCTCAATCAGCAGCGTCTGCTAACCTTTACGACCTTCATGCTGGCAGGAATCAAGTCCCCTAACTAAGACGTGATCGAGCGGGTTTGGATAAAACGCGGAACCCGAATGCGGACTCCGTAAGCGGATTCCGGATGCAGATTCCGCAAATGAGGATAAAACGCGGATTTATTTATTAACTTTGCCAGATAGTATTAACAGTTATTACAAAGTAATAATTTAACGAATTAACTAGACTATATGGCAGGGTATTCGCAACAGCGATTAGCCAATTACTGCGAACCCAAGGACAATACGTTAACATCAAATAGCAAAAAAACTAACAACTAACTTCATGCATTTATACAACTATGTATTTAGCTAGCTACGGCAATTGATCATGCTATGATAATAACATGCACTAGGCCACTAGCTATTCCTCATTTGAGGATAAAACGCGGATTCCGCATTTGAGGATAAAACGCGGATTCCGGAAGCGGATTCCGCAAACGAGGATAAAACGCGGAATTGCGTAAAAAAGGACGAGAAGAAGAATAGCGTATAAAAACTTTAAATTATTACTTTTTAAGGTCACAGCCACTAAGAAGCGATTAGCTAAAGGTACCTAGTTACCCTAGGCCTAACTGTTGAAGTCATACATGCATGCATTATTGTTGGGAGGGGGGAGGGGACTGTGATTTTTTGGACTATTTCTTAAAATTATGCCGGGAGGGAGGTGGAAAATCGTATACAATAAACGTAAACAATGAAGCGTGAATGGCAAAAGCGTTTTGCGTATATGATAACTTGGGTTTTAGTCCATTTATTAGCGCAAACGGTAAGCTTGGAAAATCATGATTTTTGATAAAACAAATGCGCTATCACACACTGATGATCAGTATCAGCCGAATTTAAATTCCATTGCAATTTAATAATACGATGTTAATATTGTCGCGCAAATCACATATTAGCGCCATACAATACAAACTGAAAAATTCAACTTGATGATCGTGGTTGTAATTATTGACTGTATTTATATGAATCAATTCGTAACTTGATCAATTCAAGTAGAGCAGTAATTAAGAAATCAATTCAAATTTTCATTTTTTCCCTCAGACACTGCTTTTTGCTAAAATAATTTCTGTCTTAGCAAAACGCGTGTAAGCGATCAAATGTCCAACTGAATATTTAACCGATATTTTTCATATTATGCGTTCGAACTTCGAACTAAAGTCTGGAACGCAGCAGGATATGGCCGGGCGGCAACTACTAAAGGAATGTTGATACGCAATTAAATTAAAGGAAACCTTAATTACAATGCGTACAACACCTAGCAATCCGACAAAAACCATGCATAAACACCTGGTAATCCGACACAAAGTTCATGTTAATCTGTTCCCAACAAGCGTTATTTGTCTTGCGTATAAGTCGTAATTTTAGCTACTTTGAATTGATTTCTGCTCTATTTGCACCCGGAGAAAACTCACGACTTTTGGCGTAGCGTTGACAGACTCTTTTCACATCGAATCCGTAGTGAGAATCGAACCCACGATCTCAGAGGTGAAAGGCGCTTCCTCCGACGCCTGTGCCATCAAAGCCCGAATATTACTAGCATTAACAAAGAAACTTAAATAAAAATGAAGACGCTCTTGATAAATACGATTTTCCACCTCCCTCCATAATTTTAAGAAATAGTCCAAAAAGTCACAGTCCCCCCCCCTCCCAACACTAATGCATGCATGTTTGAGGGCCACAAGTTTTTCAGCCTTCGGTTGTAATGTGTTTTACCCTCGTTAAATAAAGTTGCTATACTACTACTACTACTATGACTTCAGCAGTTAGGCCTAGAGTAACTAGGTACCTTTAGCCAATCGCTTTTTAGTGGTTGTGACCTTAAAAAGTAATAATTTAAGTTTTTTATACGCTATTCTTCTTCTCGTCCTATTTTACGCAATTCCGCCTTTTATTCTCATTTGGGGAATTCGCTTCCGGAATCCGCGTTTTATCCTCAAATGCGGAATCCGCGTTTTATCCTCAAATGCGGATTCCGCGTTTTATCCTCATTTGCGGAATCCGCATCCGGAATCCGCTTCCGGAATCCGCGTTTTATCCTCAAATGCGGAATCCTCATCCGGAATCCGCTTACGGAATCCGCATTGCGGTTCCGCGTTTTATCCCAACCCGTGACCGAGCAAGGAATACCATGCTATGTAAAACAACAATATAGCAATAATTACAATCAGTTGGATGCTTGTACAAGATTCAATATGGAGCATCACCAAAAGCACAAGATCAAGTCAATTCTATTGCTGTCTCTTCTGAATCTTTTCCACTTCCTTCAAGGAAGGTAAGGGGTTTTACGGTTTATTTTATATGCGATACGCTTCCATCATCAAGGGAAGACTCTTCCCATCTTGCCGCCATAGTATTTCCTGTAATTTCGGTAAAAGTTTGCACTAAAATAGCAACATGCCAGTATACTGTACTTAATTAATATTCGTTTGAAATCATTGTGCTAATTTTCAAGCGAGAATTTTTTTTGTAATGAAGTAATAGAAATCACTAAATATTAAACTCTGCAATGCACTAGCAGCACCAAGTCTTTAGTAATGATAGTTACTGCAGTGTTCAATCAGAAAAAAAAACTGTACATGGAATAGCGTACAATGGAGTCCCACAATTCCATACTCGCTGCAATAGCAGCTCGAACCCCGAACATTTCATGAAACGGTTTCCATACTCGATCGTCCCAATAGCTTTCGTGCATGGAAAGTCTATGCCCGGCCCTTAACGCATTTTCACTATACTGGCAGGGCTAACGTGAAAACCATGTTTCAAGTACCGTCGCTTATAGCTAATTAGCCCAATAGCCGTAAGATGTTCCTTGACGGAATTATACACTTATTGCAGAGAAAAGATTGCAAATTTCGAGTGAAAATTTTACACACATATGCATGCAGGTATGTTTAGATCTTACCAGGAGCTGGCAAGAAAAATACAGCCGTAGACTTCTGTTCAGATTTTGAGCTGTAACCACAATTAGGTTCATGTTTATCATGTGTATGCTAAAGCGATGGCATGAGAAAGCGATGGTATGAGAAAGCGATGTCGTTCTTGCCAAATCATCTGTATAGTTGCATTTCTCGTCTAAATAAATGCTTAATTAAATTTTCACTCGAAATTTCCATTTTCAAAACCCTTATCTTCAACATTCGAGTGATATCCCACACGTGACATGGTAAAATGATTATGACGTATAGTTAAGTTTATTTTGTTAAAATAGATACAATACTAAATCTGGTCACAATGCCAATGCCCAATGGCGATATTAAGTTATATAGTTTATCAGTAAAGTTAGTAAAGTTACATGAACAATGTTAAAAAAGAACGTAGCTATAGGCCCATAAGGGTGTCTGAGTTAGTGGATTTCACATTCCTTGACGGTAGTAAGATGCATAACAACATACTGTATGTATTATACAATTCTAAAATTTGAGAGAGTTTGTATTGATAAAAAAACAATGTTTTAATTATTTATGGACTTTTGAGCTAAAAATTAAAAATATACAATGATCATGCATTTTACCATAACTATTATCACGCAAGCCAGACTTCAGTGCGCGTTTGGAAAACTACAATTAAATAGACTTCGTGTTGAAAAAATGTCATATACGTGACACGTCCAATACTGTCGTTTCTTATAACAAGTCATGACAATTAACTTCCACGATTTGTGAAATCAATTGCAACGAATCGCCGCGAGTTGCGAATTGGAATCTGCATATGGAATCGGTTGCGTGAAGTTCCCACCAACTGTGCTTTTGTGGGCCGAGCTTCACGAATTTCGTCTCGAGTCGTGAAATTATAAACATATTTGTTGGCATTCATCGTTCTTCAAAACAGACGTGATATATAAATATCTCAAATGACACACAAAAATTCTTGATCTTCAGAAAACTCTAACTTCGCGCTATGTTGTGAAATCGCAATTTATGAGATAGCATACGAACCAAACCGCCGCTCTTCGTTTGCTAGTCCGTAGACCGTGGGGTTTTGATGCATGAATGTATTCCTGAATGAATAATTATTTCTCCGCGCAAAATATAGCACACGCATATATTGCTTATGAATAGACTTAGGAAGGGACTTACAGTAGTATGAACGGCTCCTTGAAAATCAACAACCTAGTCGTGTTGAAGGATAACCGTTGTAAAATAAGATTTTCAATAATTAATAATAACAATAATAATAATAATATATATATATATATATATATATATATATATATATATATATATATATATATATATATATATATATATATATATATATATATATATATATATATATATATATAGCCATAGTTATAGATTGAGTTTAATTACATAACAAATTCATGAACGACAATCTTAATGCTAGCAAAAGCTTATACGCTTTTGTCCCGCAGTAAGTTATCACATCATGTTGTAGAATTGTGACATGACTTTGACCCTGACTTACAATTAGTGTATTTTGAAAAGTGAGTTTTCTATTATGTACGATTTGGTTTCAAAATGAATCATTCAATAGGTCTACCACAAGTCGATATCTAATTTTGTGTTTTGTAAGACAATGCTATTGATGGAATATGTTTAATCTGTCAAATGGTTGTGGTTTAGTTCATGATCACTTGGCTCTAATTTCTCCGTTTCCGTTTTGTTCAAAGCTACTCTGAAATATCAACAAGTTAACGAGTCTTATACAGCCATTGGTTTGATTGAATGAATATGGCCACATGGTGACATGGGTAACCGTATTCAGAAGATTGACAGTGCTTTAAAAACAGTGGCGTAACGCAACCTCCTGAGGCCCCCCGTCAAATTATTAAGTAGGGCCCTATTTTTTCCCAAAAAATTTTCGAACCATATATATTCATTAAAAAAGGGGTTCAAAAAATTTTCCCGACTATGACAAGTAAAAAAATGTAACAAACATTTTTCACCATCCATGTTTACTAAAGTAAAAAGGGGTCCAAATTTCACAATTTCACCAATTCCTGCTTTTGGGGGCCACCCGTTGCAAATGAGAAGGTTCTCAATAACTGAGGCCCGGGCCAATTTGCCCAATGAACTAGAAAACATTTTATGGTAAATTTTGCCGGGGGCCCCCACACCTGCCCCCCCCCCGTCTCTGGACACCCGGGCACCCGCCAGTTACGCCACGGTTTAAAAACAGTCTATGACCACCAAATTGATGGGACTCTCCTACCAGAAAATTCTACGAATTTAACGAGCCGTACGAATTTCGCGAGGGACTTATCAATTCAGGAGATGCATAATTATATAAACCAAGTCAGCCAAGACTCGTGAGACATTTGCCCAGTCGACACGAGTCGTGAAATATCACGAATGTAACGAGCCGTACGAATTTCGGGAGGGTCTTACCATTTGCACTGATGCATATAATCTATGTAGGCCTATGTTACAAATCGAGACGATTCATGAAATTTAACTAATGTAACGAGTTGTACGAATTTCGTAAAGGGCTTACTAATGGACCATATGCATATAACCTAAGTTTCTCACTCGTGATTAATTAAAAAGCAATAGACCTTTCCCCTTATAACCAAAATTTTGATCTAGGCAAGTCTAGACAAATATTTAATCACAGCTTGAAAGAGCATCACAAAATTAGTAATATTCCAAAGTTTCGTTGCGAAATGTTGTAAAATGGGGAAAATAGAGCCTTGCGAAGTTTGCAATTTTCAGTCATTTTGCATTACAAACGGGAAATTGCAGCCCCAACACCCGAATCGTATGTCAATTTCCCGTTTGTAATGCAAAATGACTGAAAAACGGCAAACTTCACAAGGCTATATTATCCGCATTTTACAAGATTTTGCAACAAAACTTTGGAATATTACTAATTTTGTGATGCTCTTTCAAACTGTGATGAAATTTTTGTCTAGATCGAAATTTTAGTTATAAGGGGAAAGGTCCATTGAAAGTTGACGAGCTAAACATGTTATGCAAATTGCTTATTTCATTATTCATTTACACTTTTCGGAAACGTAATATTTTTGTCAATGCTAATCAGAATACAGTGTTTCAGTTGGAACCTGAATATAATTTAACTTAAAGGGCCCATCTTTCAACAGTGTAAATATACAACGAACTTGTATAAAATTTGGATACCAAGTTAATTTGGTCTATTATATATAGTAAATACATAGTTATATATAGTAAATTCATGGTCATTTTCGATTTGGGCTTCCAATAACAATCAGAGTCCCTGCTACATGACAGCCCGAGTAGAAATTTAATTCCAGTTACAACTACTTGACTATTGAGATGGAAATTTCACCGGCCTGATAATCGTTATTTAATCGTGTTGAACAGTTAATTAACTAAAATTGGTACTTCCAATGTAATTGCAAAGATATTTCAGCTGGAGTAAACCGGTTTAACATTGAAACTGAATTGAAACGTCTTCGTGACTAACCCTTAACTCCGGAAATTTTTGGGAATAAATGGGCGGAAGGGCCGGTCCTTGAAGCGCAGCAGGAGAGTCTACGAGAGACATTCTGATGTCTTTCGTTGCGACGGTTATACCAAGGAGATATTTGCTGATGCGAAGCGCCAATTCCGCCAAACCAGCTGTCAACTAAACTCCCAGTATATAACTTACCGTACAGTTTACGCCAACTATTATACTCATGCGCTGAATTGGAAAAAACTTGGACCTACACGGCAAAAAAACGCTCAGGTTGATGCAATACTGATGAAAACAGGATTGAACAATGTTTTGCTGCCCACATTGTTCATAGCTGTCAACAATATTGAACAATATTGTTACACCCGATTCAGGCTCAACAACATTGTTCAATATTGTTGACAAGTGTGAACAACGTGGGCAGCAAAACATTGTTCAGTCCTGTTGAGCAACGGGCTCGGCGTTTTTTGCCGTGTACCAAATGAGAATTTCCAGAACAAAGAAATTTGACATTAATTCGTAGTGAACTAATAATAAGCAAATAAACAATAAACGTCTGTTGACCCCTTATACATGAATTATATTGTTTCTTTAGGTATTGCATTAACAACATTTCCGTGTGATTTTTTCAACCTGTTAAAACCACAACAGCTGAACAATTTATATATTAAAAATGATATTAGTCGTGAAAAATCAACAAATATACATGTATCGATTTCACACATACGCAATGACGTATATGCGAACAGCGCATTGTGCAAGTCGTGTAATCAATTTTGCGACAATTGTCACTGTGGGAAATTGTAGATATTAATATGCGAACGGACAGCATGCACATGGTTTATCTTTAACTTTACTAAAACAGAAAATAATTTGAACTAAAGTACAATTCTTTCGCATTTGACAGCTAAGTTAAGGCGTTGAGGTAATTGCGTTCGACGAAGGAGAACGCTTCTTAATCGTGAGGTCATCGTGACGTCACGGCTGGATGCTATGTCCTTTCGAGATTTTTGGATGTAACACTTAACTCGCTTTCGTGTTTAGCATATCCCTCACTTTATGTGGCATTATGTGGCATTTGCCTATGTTTCGTGCCATGTCTTAATTTCCATATGCATGCCTTCCATATTTTGGAGACAGAAGCAGATTTTGGCTGCTGTTTTGGGTTTTTCTTGCGGTTTATTGTACGGTAAGTGGACTTGTGTTATTTTTATTTCCTTTAAGTGTTACACATGATTAAAGATATTTATTGTAGCGTGCAAACCGGAAAACATCAACCTAGTAATTTAATTTATAATCAGAGTGTGGACAATATATAAGTGTACGATTTTTAGATAATAAAGTTGTTGTGTAGTGAGACTGTTGTTTTTAAGTTGATCCGGAACGCGACATTTGGTAGCAAGAAATGGTCAAAAGGTTTAACAGAACTTTGGAGAATCAGCTAACAATATAATTTGTACAGAAACATTAACAAGATTGAGATAACCACGTTCCGCGGATATTGTTAGCTTATCGTTCAGCCATGCACGAAAGCACTGGACAAACGCCATCGTGTCCTATGTTTGGCACAGTTCACCTGGTGAGTGCTGTTTTGCATCCTCAGGACATGGTCTTTATTAAAATCCTAATTGCCATATTGATATTCGTAGTGCAGGCATTACACATTTAATGCATAATCCTCAGTCTTATATTGAAAGTCCTGCAAATATTTCATGGGACTGAATTATGTTGAAGAAATGTCACAACAGGGACCGCGGAGCCTGCATAAAAGTGTGTGTGGCGGGAGGGCGGGGGGCAGGATAGCACGGGAGCTATGCCACGCATGCAGGCAGGCTGGATTCTATCCGGTATTTTTGCTATCCACTGAAAAAGTAAGGGGCCGTGCCCCCCCCCCCCTGTTCCGCGGTCCCTGCACAACCTGTAACATGGTGTGATAATATCACTATTCCAGCAGTAGCAAATGCTTTAAGCTGCACTATTCATACCACTGATTCCAGTCCAAATGCATTATAAACCCAATTAGTTTACGCCTGAGACATTGTGTTGCAAGGCCTAAACTGAAGAAATGCTCGTTGCTCGAGCTCTGCCTATGATGAGGGTAGATATATCATAAACCAGACTGGCAAAGGCGAGATTCGGGGCCGGCATTGCATTAATTTGCCTCAATATGTTGAAGAGCTTCAATCAATTTTCCATATATCCCAGGGACTTGTCTATCATTGTTGTTCAAATGAAGGCAGAGGCGCCGGGAATATTGATAATTGGGGGGGGGGGG